ATTTTAAAGACTATAAAGTACATAAAGATACCCCCAAAATGTTTTCTTAACATTTCATGAAATTAATTGTACTTTATCTTTTTTCCTATGTGATCATTAAATAATACTTTCGATGGAACACACAACAAAATGATTGAACAACTTATTTTCAAGGAATAAAGTGAAGTGCAAAGAAATTAATTGAACTGTGTCTCAAGTAACATTTAGGAATACCTTTAACCACTACCATTTAACCGGGAACACAAGTTTGTTATGATGTTCTGTCGCAATCCAAATATGGTGTCTGTTTGAACATTGGTAGGCTCACACATAATGATCCAAATCTGAGGCCACACGATGTGTGCTCATCAAAAAATAAAGTAAATAAAGAGAAATACAAGACTGATCCTTGAGAATACAAGACACTAACCAAATTTGAATATCCGGAACAGTCCCAGATAGCGACCGCCGCCGTTTGTGAATCTCTTTCTGGGTATTGAAGCATTTCATCTGCACTGATCACTAGTGAAATGTAGCTACATACTAATGCTAATGTACATGCTAGTGACCCACGTTCTATCACTTCAGTGATCGGTAAGCTATTATTTTGTTCCAAAAGCACATGCGCTGAAACTGTCGCGATAAGTAGCAGCCCAGCTCAGCTCTGCGACAATGGTGGCGGTGACATTCCCATTGAAGGCAATGCATGTGCATTGAAATAAATCATAACTTGTTCATTTCTCAACCAGCTTTCATGAAACTTACTTTCTGGTCAAGGACAAAGTATGTGCTATTAATAGGGAAAACGTTTTTGTTTGTTTAGTTTTTTTTTTTTTTTTTTACATTTTTTGGTGTTTGTGCCACCCATGAACATAAAAAGTGGCAATACTTTGCCCATACGAGTTTTAATGTCAGCGAATCCTCTGGCGTTATATTTATCGAGCGTCCATATCTACAATAATGAGACTAAACCCACTTGGTTCCCAGAATGATTTGCATGGCATGATGCATTTAATTAATGAAGTTATAAGGATATTAATCCTTGTCAGAGACGTCCATTTGTGTTATTAGTGGTTGAATGCGTGTATCATATTTAGCTCTCACATTTGTTTGATTATACGTTGCACTGTTTGTATGTAATCATTTATATATTTATTTGTTTGTAAGCAAACCATGACTTTAGGTTTTGTGTAAAATAATGTCATCAAGGTCAACTCCTACAAAGCATTAACATAAATCTTCCAAATGCACATATGCTTACATAAATTGCATCTTAATGGGAATCTGTCAGTCATGCATCCCTTTAGTTCCTGTTAATAAAACAGCCACAAGTATTGGCCGCCATCGCGAGTAACGATACCTTAAGGCTGGGTGTCGGCTCAACACAAATACCTGGTATCAGTACTCACCCATCACTAGTTTTAACATTTGTGTAGTATATTAATTAGGCATTGAGCTACACCCAAATCTATTTTAGCGCTTCCGTTTTAGGAGGTAATCGTAAAAACGAGTTTTAATATAATTACTGTGTTGGAGCTTTATTTCTCCTGATTTTGGGGCACCACCTGAAAGTTAGGGTTCCCTTAGCATTTCCCTCTTTTGCTGAATGGCATCTCTCCTTGCATGCCGGTGGTCTGGTTATCTGCGTAATGTGCCCAAAAATATGCAGCAGTTTAAATGGAATTTCCCTTGAGACTATAATACATACATAAAATAAAAAATGGAAAATTACCTGTAGGCATTTTTTGATGCAGGCCGGGGGTCAAATTTGATAAAAATGATACACATGGATGTGGTGGGAGCTTGGTGACAGGCTTTTACCCAGTCCACTTGCACCTTCAATGGCTGGTCATGTCTGCATGAAAGAAGACAATAACAGCAACAACTACAAGAACAAAAACCGAAACATTTGTTTAGGGTGTGGTTGGGCTGATAGTTTTGGTCTGTGCCGATATAGTAGGATGTTGAACTTGAAAATGCTCAAATGTAATTGCTCTCAAAGAATTAAGTACATGATGTGGACTTATTCAAGTGGAATTGCAGAGCCCAAGAATGAGAACGTTCATTTCAACAGATGAACTTCAGGTTTGAAGACAAACTACACATGCTGTGAAATTGGCAACAATATATTTACAATAGCCAACATTACACTCTAGCATCCAAAGGTGTTATTGTTTTAACGGTGTGGTTGGACAATTACAAAACCGATTGCAATGAAGTTGGGGCGTTGTGTTAAACATAACGTGGGTTTGTAGACAACAAATACAGAAAGAGTCAAGAATTTACAAAAACACTGAACTTGATGAACAACTTTTCCAACCTAGTTAACGGGCTGTCGATCTGGTTAAAACGTAATCACAATGAAGGTTTGCTTAAAATTTACTTTCGATATGAAGATAAGCCAGCATCCGTCTTACGTGCAGTGCTAAGACTAACAAGTTAACTTTTCGGCCTCAGAACCACACTGGCGAGTCGTGGCTGCGATTTTGTATGCGAGTGTGAGAGGTAAAAACGTTAAATAGTAGAAATATAATACCTGCTATGCAACACGTATATTTTACAGCTTTATTTTATTTTGAACGTACAACGGCACCAGCTAAAGTTAAAAATTCAAGGGTCAATTCCTACACATTTAGTCATCCAAGTGTGCAAAAGAAGTATCATAAGTTCGCGACTCACCTGTAAAATTCAGGTGACTATCTGTGGAAAGTTCATCTACTACTAATGCTGCTTCTCGATTGCCAATGGCAGGTTAAGGTAGCATTCCTAGTAGTGGCCTCGATTTACTCACTGCACCGTCCCTCTGAGGTCGAGTGTGGCGGTTCAGCCTGCGTTTAACTTCACAAATATCGACCACACTTCCCATTTAAGTCTGAAACGACCGCATCTTTTTTCCCCCCCAAGGTTCAGAAAACTGCGACCGTTATATCCTTTAAGACTAATAACTTTTCGATCTCATTACCAAGCATAACAAGATGATTAACTTACCAGTTGACTAATCTTTTTTTTCGCTGCCTCGTGCTATTTATTTACACAAAACGAGCGCATCCTTCATCTCATGCTCAGGTCCTCGGTGACGCTGATTGGCCAGTCCAGTCTCAGAAGTCATCCAAGTCAAAGTGAATTTCCGCTTCCCGTCATTACCAAAATAAAACATTTTTATTGCAGCATTCAAAATGTGTTTGGAATATGATGAGAAATAGTTTTTTTGAGAAATTATGACTGATTGAACGGTCGTATCACATTTAATATACTATCCAAACAAAGTCAGAAAACGTGTAAATTATCCTGAAGGTCTTGCATTCAGATGATATCACATTCCTTGGTTCTCAAATGGAGTACCGTACTTATATGCGCAGGGGTACTTGAGATTTTAAAATATATTTATGCATTAGCACCAGTGCAAAAAAAAAAAAAAAAAGAGCTTAATCACAGCAGTTGCCTCACCGCCACCAAGAATTTGGGTTTGGTCGCAGCTTCAGCCTTCCTGTGTGGGGTTTGCATGTTCTCCCCGTGCCTGCTTGGGTTTTCTCCGGGTACTCCGGTTTCCTCCCACATTCCAAAAACATGCATGGTAGGCTGATTGAACACTCAAAATTGTCCCTAGGTGTGCGTGTGAGCGGTTATGGTTGTTCGTCTCTGTGTGCCCTGCGATTGGCTGGCATCTGGTTCAGGGTGTCCCCCACCTACTGCTCGAAGACAGCTGGGATAGGCTCCAGCATGCCCCACTACCCTTGGGAGGATAAAGCGGATCAGAAAATGGATGGATGGATGATGGGAGAGCAGTTTTTTTCAGATCCCAGAAGGCAGATTGGGGGATACTTGGCTGAAAAAAGGT